TTTGAATAACGAAATGAGAAGACGAATATTGGCAGATGCTAGCATATTGTATTATCTTGTCAGTACCAATACAATAACAGAGAAATCCTTTTGAATGTCTAATAGGGTACAGTCAAGCCGTAATTATATGACATCGACAGCTAGTCAGTCGGAGGCCAATAGATGCGCTTCGCGTTACCACGGTAAGCTCAGATTCACAGTCCATATAGTTCTGCACACACAGTAGTGGTCGTTCTCCATCGATGACAATGGCTTCAAGTAGCCAAAGAATGTGTGGTCGCTGATTACGCACCGGAAACAAGAAAGATTCCTCACGGTTAACATGATGTTTAGTGCTCAGCAAATGCCATCTGATTGCTGAGGTAGCTCGATTTCTGGATTAATGCAACTCTGTCGTCACTGATCTCATCTGGTTACGTTATCAATTGGGACAGCGTTTACTGAATCCGACCTTTAAACTTGGGTCAGTGTGCCCGACATAGTTGTCTCTGCAGCTACAGATGAAGTTGTACAAGCAATGGGATATCCAATGTCCCGTTTGTCATAATCGGACGCAGAAGTAGATGTCTTGTTAACGTGAGGTGCCGCAGTTCAAGTACTTTGTAGGCTCTACCAGAAGACGAGAGCAGACGCGTCAGTGGTGCCTAGTTCGAGTCATGTCCTGTAACGTCCCGAGCCAAGTACAACACGAGTCGCGTAAACTGCAGCCTGGAAAGCGAGAAGGACAAACAAGACCTTGCTCACTCGTCAGTAAGGACATTTCCCGTTGCCACTAGAATTAGAATTGGCATATTTTCAACTAGGTAAAACACAGCCCAACAAAGCTGATCCGCTGAGTCAACTTATACTCCACTCGAGGTTTGCGTCATCCTGCTGACCCGTAGCCTTAAGGATCACAAGTCTGCTTTCTAAGCTGAAAGCCCAAGTGCAATTGGTGCTTGCGCGGCAGCGAAGCGTCGGTACACAGTACCGACGTCATCCTACATACGACAAACAAAACAAGGCCTTCCTAGGTAGGCGGTAACCGGGTATAGATAGTGTGTACCCAAGCCAACGCAACCTATTCAATGGTATCGTCATTCTAATAAATCACGCCGAATGGTACCGCCTAGGTGATAGTCGCATAGAGATAACCAAGAGGCACGTGAATTAAAGAGAATCAAGACAACTTCACGGTTCACCTTCAACAGCGGAAATATGCGATCGCATGCTAGGAGAAACCATGCATGAAAAAACCCAAACCAAGAGAGATAGGGGCATGAATACGGTTCAGGAGATAAAGGCCATGCAAAAATGACAGGTTAGCCAAGTTTAGTGGAACATCGGTACAGCGGATGCAGTCGCGGTGAGAGTCAGACGCAAAAGTAACATGCAGATATTATATGGCTTCGCGCTGACAAAAACTACACACTAAGATGAAACGGGGTAAAGGAGACTCCGAGCAAGTTAGCAAGTACAAAATAGCGACAAGATGTAAGCGTGAGCAAAGAGCAAATGGGCGACAAGGCAGCGGTACCAGATTACTTTTGAGCGTACAATGCAGGTGTGCATGAGTTCTGAAGGCAACCGGAAATTCGCTCGAGTTTTGCACTCTAAAGTGAGGATAAGCGCGGATGTATCCAGATTGGCCCAAAAATTCACAGAGCATGAAATTTGCCTCCCCCAACCATGAATTGGGAATGAGTTTAAGTGCACAGAAAAAGAATTCGAAGAGCTCCAGGTGGCCTTCTCACAACTAAACATAGCTACACAGCCAACACACATCCGGCGAGGCATTATTGAATAGTTGTTTCATTCGAACAAGACATAGTAGTGGCGCGCATTCCCTTTATTCACGTATCACTCAAATACATGATAGTGGGACCGGCAGAAGTTGACCGTCAATACAAGGGTTCCCATCCACTCTTGCCACTAAGGAACTGCCGAGCATAGGTCACGGTTGGACTGCTTATGCACGATTCCGTTGCTAAGGCACGACCCCCCATAGATTTGAAGTATAGTCTTGAAGTTTAACAGGACAGATGTTGTGAATGAGCAGTCGCTTGTGTTTGTACTCTTCCTGTTCGAGAGTGAATTCCTTGGTGATATGGGAAATTAACAGGTGCAGCTCCTGTGCACCACTTTTCTTAACCACTATAACATGGAACTCATGGGTAGAAGCTTTGCATATAGTTATCTATGAAGACAGCAGGAAATCAGCTACCGTTATAACAGCGGGATAAGGCCAGTGTCATTGTGTAGATCTGAGATTTAATTAGTTCACAATAAAGACATCAGACGATTGGCCATGCTTGATCATCAGTGCTTGCGATATTACTAACATCAGTGCTAAGCTGCGCCGGTTGTTTCAGGGCAAGAAGTCTTCTGGTACATCACTCGAGTATTTACGGAATCTTAACCGCCTGCCCTGGCTACGTCATGTTCTGTGTACGCTCGTTAACCGAGTTCCTCGGTATTATACACCGTGGTTGTACCAAGTCCAGCGAAAGCACGAGGTGGCCAGTCCATGACGTGACAGGAAGGAATGAAAAAATGACTGGGAAGCTTTGTAAGACTGGTGGGTGCAGTCCACGCGGATAGGGTCCTTGAGATGATCAGTGGTTGGAGACCCTAACAGACATGGCGCAATTGCGCAGTCAGTTGCGTCCCTACACTCGGTTTCTTGCATCTGTCAATTTTTATTTGAAACCAATTACTTTAACGCGCTTCGTTCTTCATTACATCACGCTTGAATACTATTTGGGTTTAACCCCATGTTTTACCGTCGTTATTTATTGTCAGTTTGGCGACCGAGTTGTAGAAACTGGATCCACCGCACTTCGATGTCTAGATCATAGCTGCTCAACTGGACTGAACTAAACTTCACCTTTAATCCGTAAACCGTCCTCCTGGTGAGTGAGATCCGGGAGGATACAGTGCTGCTGCAATCACATGGCCTCCGAACATTGGCCGGTCTAGTGTGATTGGAACCGGAGATGACAGAAGGGCGGCACGCAGTATGCATCAACGGGACGTGAAGAGACCGAAGGCATAGGGCTGTTTCGATGGCCAAAATCGAAAAAGGAGTCGTGGTGCGAGAGCGCCGAGTGATTCAACCCAGGGTTTATTGTGGGTTAACGCGAGGCCATCAAAGTACTCGATCGGCAGCAAGACTACCGACTAGAAGGTCAGAATAGTTGATGCTTTCAAGCAAGCACGGAACTAGTCAATGAGTAAAGGGTCGGGAACGGACGTCACTAAACGTGCCTTTGCCTACGAGTTACCTCAGTAATTGTGGTGAAGCATTGTTTGGGCTGAAAGGACGCGTGACATTAAAAGCACGAGACCAGTATCCCAGAGAACATATCGCCTCGTTGAAGACCAAACAGGTGTTAAGTCGGTCAGGCAAGTGTCAGGAGCAGAAACAGAAGGAAACTAGAGGTCACTACAGTCAAACAAACAAGAATAAAGGAATAAAACGGAACAAAAATGTGAACAGAAAGGAGCGATGAACAATGAGCACAAAAACAGGCAAACAGTGTTGCGGTGAATGCAGGGACGTACCTGTACACCACATTCTGACTGTGAAGGTAACCAAGAGCCAGAGTTATCTCAGCAGCATAAAAGCGTGTACGATGTTCGGGAAAACGACCATCACGAGAGAGATGAAAAAACAACTCCCCACCGTTCACATACTCCATCACAAAACAAATACGATCCGGTGTGGTAAAGGAGTACCGTAGGTGGGTCATGAATGGGTGACGACATTGTTGTAGTACACGACTCTCTGTCATGGTGTGGACCACTTCATCCTTCTGAAAGAAGTAAAAAGATGCTGGTGCGGACCGAACTCTCACATTAACGACCAACCGAAATAAAAATGGCTTTCCATGGTGAAACCAAGCAGACAAGACCTAAGTGGTATAGTAGCTGGCAAGAAAAATGCAATACACCATGTGAAAGTGGTAGTTGGAAGATCAGAAAATTAGTTGGCACTCCGCTTCTACTTGAACTGTCCATCTAGCGATGGGAGTATTTTCTTCTCAAAAAGAGCTATGTAGCTAAACAAACCCGAACCGCACATCGCGGCGTAGTGGACGCAGGTGCCTTCAAGTGTATTGCGACGGCGAACGTGACGATAACGTGTAGCCCCCGTAAAACAAAAAGAATGGACTGCATGGTGGTAAGATACCATGCTGGTTGACTATAGAACGGGCGAACGGAACAAAAACGGGCCGACTGTGTGAAATTTGATCGATCGTCGCCATTTGAGCCACAACGCCCACAAGTGAGAGTGAAAATCGCCTTGTAAGCCCGCACGACCAATTGGCTCGATTGATGAATATGCCAAGTTTCCGCCAGCGATAGACAATCAAGAAAAGAACTAATCGGAATCGCTCAACGGAGCGTAGTTTGCCCTACAAATAATATGCTGCCTTCTGATCAAATAGATTTCGATGACAGCTCAGTCTTCGTGCTAATTTTCTGAGTGTTACCATGACAAAATAGAAAGAAGAAAAGTGAACAATAAAAATGGCAGATCAAAACTCTAACATTTTAGAATGGGAGTAAACAGTCCGATGCAAGGAACAAAACGCAAATTGAAGTCACTGTGTGGACAATGGGAGCGGAGTAGGCATCTAAGGTGTACGGTAGTAAAAGTGGGCCGGAATTTATTGGAGAGAGTAAGTTATTGTCGAAGAACTTGGCTCCGAAAGGCAAGGAAAAAGTTATTAGTGATGAGAAGAATCAGCACATGATGATCCAGCATCAACAATGTGAGGTGCGCGAAGACTCCGAAGCTCAAAATCAGAACTGTTGTGACAGTGTTGCAGCAGTGTTCCAGGACGTGCTTCTACGTCTACTGACCTAATTCCTACAACTTCTACAGATGGCTCAGTACCTCCCAGTGACCTTGTGTCATCCATAAAGCTAGGAGAGATCAGTCACTCCTTCTCAACCTACTTATAAGGGCCAGATCACTGAAATACAATATGCATATTCTAAGCCGCTTGGCTAATCTCGCCGTGCCTGGTGCAATTCTTGTAACTGAAACATGGTTTGGAGCACCTAATTTAGACGATTCCTATTCCTTGTGGATGTTTTGTGAGTAGTGTAATGTTCGTAAAAAGTAGAAGTCACGATTAAACTTCACACAATAATCTGCCTCGACAGGAAATCGAACCCCGGTCCCACGAATTTCCGGTCCGCTGCTCTACCACTGAGCTACCGAGGGCTGACGATTAGGTGCGCAATTTAATACATGACCTCTGCTTGGTGCGCGACGTATTGCCAATGAGCTCACAGTATCTGTCCTTCTGATGTCCAAAGGGCGATGGTAGATTACTTGTGGATGTTTTGTGAGTAGTGTAATCCCTATTCCCTTCAGGGCTATCAGCTGTATACATAATCGCCCACGCACAAGCGATATGGAGGAAGTGCCATTTACCTAAAGCAAAATTACGCCGAAATGATGGACTCTATATGGATAGTAGCCAACATCATGGCTGGCTAACCGAACAACCTCCTCGTAGTGCCAGCTGGGTAGTTCGGGTTTATCACGTTCTAGCAAATATTTCAACGACAGTGTTCTAGGATGTGGTGGGTTTTCGCCTGGCAAGCGTTCTCCCTGTAAAAAGCCATAAATGTCCGTTTAACAACACTGTGACGTGGCGGTGGTGATTCGCCACCAACTAAAGTCACTGCCCTTTGCTTATCCGGACAACCGCTTAAAGTCCACAGATATCAATTAAGTCTTCAGCACTGGCGACACGTTCAAACACGATCAAAAGTACAGGAAAGCATTTACAAATCTCATAAACACAGCTACACACGCCTACATGCACAAATAGATACATTCATATATCAACAGATGTGACAATCCTATTGTTCCATCGTACATGAACTGAGCACTTTTTGGTACTCTTGCCATGATCATGCCTGTGCAGGAGTGCCTTACGTAAGCAAGAATAAACATTTTATTTAATAATAAAGATCGTTAAACTATCCAAAAACTCGAAATGAGAGCGAAGGGCCTTCAAGAGGGAGCATTACATCAGATAATTCCAAAAGGGTTCTGTAAGTATAACTTCAGTAATTTAGTTAACACTTCCACAAGTGACCAAGAAACTGCCAACATTGCAAAGTGTCACTGGATAGATCGTTGTGCTCAAAATAATATTAGCCAATCAGATTCAGCGAGGGACTTGGGCATTTCGCTTCGAAACAGGATGCACCAATCGGGTGTGTTTATCCTAACAGGAAGCAAAATGACCATCAACGATAGCACATACTCATATTGTACCAGTATTGGATATCATAAGAGACTGAAGTGGGATGAAACAGCCATAGTTGTGAGTGGGTAGACATCATCAGTGTGCAGAAACCTAGGCAGAATGACTGTCGTCCTCAGACGAAGCGCAATCACAAGGTTCAATACACACGGGAACATTCTACAAAATGAAGCGGGTTCATGAAGGTGTGCACCACCCCAGTCGGAACCCGCAAAATGGAAGGCCAGATGACTGAGTTTGTTAGACCTCTTGCCTTAGGATAATCCGGATAGATCAACGTCCAAAGGGGACAAAGAGCAGCGCCTAGCATAGATCATTGGAAAGGGATAATACAAACTGTTGTGTCAAGCTAAAGTTTAGTCCCAACGCGACCGTCAGGATCCATCACCAAAGAATGAGCGTACGTAATGAAGAGTAGGTGTGCATCCGGGTAGCACAAAGAAAAAATAAGCTAAGTGAACAATGTAATTTGGTTTGCGAACAAAAATTTGTGAACACAGTATAACGTTACGGTGCCAGCATTGGCGCTGAGTAAACAAAAAGCAACGCTATACTATACGTGTGTGGGGGTGTGCAAGAGATCACAAGGCTCCATACTGCATAGTGCTAAACACAAAATGTATGCTTAAGGTAAAGGTTAAATAAGCGAAAACACGCACCTCGACTAAAACAGACTTCTTTAAAATCTTCATTGCGTAAAAGCACCCAGTCTCTTTCTCTTGGCAGAGAACAACTTTGCCAAAGGTCCCCTTCCCCAGTAACCGTAGAAGACGAAAGTCGTCCATGGAATAACGTTTCACAGGTCTGAAGGAAAACAAACAGTCAAATCTAGAGTAATAACAATAATATCAAAATTCTAGTAGATATACATAGAATTTACAAAAACCATGGAGATTAGCAGATAAGGGGCAGAGTCGCCGATACTGTGCCGCAGGAAGAAAGGAACATTTGATAAAATATAGAACAAGACATTTGTGATTTGTTTGTAACACGCCGATGTTTCTCTTTTTTGTCATTTTCAATGTTTGAAGTATTAAACATGTGATTCGATACAATTATGTACACAAATCTTCCACTGGTTCCGGTTGCGGGCCGTCTCCAAGCGTGTTAAGCCACTGGTATTCCTGTCTTGGGTCGCCATCCTGGAAGAAGTACGGGTCCAACGGCGGCTAGACGCAGTCAGGGATTTCATGTGCTGTCGCCAAGTGGAAGGCTGACCACCACGCGGTCGCCTCCAGCCAGTCCTTGAGGAGCGAGTAGAGCGCGACGCGGTAGACGCTCAGGTCATGCGTAGGGCGTGACTGAGCCATCTCAACTGGCGCAGCAAAAGCAGTTTGTTGAAGGGAATACTCGCATTCCCCAAAGATGCGACGTCAAACGTCATCAGTGTGAACACGATGTTGCCACTGAACACGTGCGATCCTCCTTAAACAACCGTGTCAAATCTAGAAGCCAACAAACAACCATAAAAGCGGAAGTGTTAGGTACAATGCGTCAAAAAGTGAATCGGTAAAACAAGCGAAGTGGCCACTGTGACTGGTTAGTTTTACTAAGCACATCTAATAGGAAAACTGAAGCGCGATGGAATTCATTGCTCTAGATTCGCGCCGCTAATGATAACTAGGATTAGCGATGAAGAGTTAGGGCTCATGGCAAGCTTTCGTCTTCCTTTACTGTCACCAGTAGAGTTCGACAAGGATGTCCTATCTCCCTATTCCTTTTCAACTTTGCCATTGAGGATGTCCTCAAAAATGCTTCGGAAAGTACTTTGAGCGCTGGCGTTGAGCTCCTCCCAGATAGCCGAGTTCTTGACTTGGAATATGCTGATGATATCACCTTGTTGGGTGACGGCCCACAGGCCGTCCAACTTGCACTCAACCGCTTGGCGATTAAAACGTCAAAGCTCTTTTCCAAGACTTTCAGATGCCTGTACCTGCACTCACTCTTGATGGTGAGACACTGGAGGTTACGGAGAATTTTGCCTACCTGGGAATTTGAATCACAGCCGGTAAAGCTGTTGAAGACGAGATTTCGATAAGTATCTCAAGAGCTCGCCTCGCTTTCTCTAAGCTGAGGGACTTATGGCGGTGCCACGAGATCCGTCCATCCATCAAAGAGTGGGTTTATTGTGCGACTGTCCGCGCTGTACTGTTGTACGGTTGCGAGAGCTGGCCTGTTCGTACGGCTGACCTGCGCCGTCTCTCAGTCTTTGAGCACCGTTACTTGCGATCCATTGCCCGTGTGTGGTGGCTGCACCACGTAATCAATGTGGAAGTTAGACAGCGTGTCTTGGGTGGAGGGAGAAACTCGCTTGAGGGCCTCGTCCCGCTGCGTCAGTTGCGGTGACTTAGACAGATACTGCGCAGGCCAGCCCATCTTCTTCCGTGTCGGGCGTTGTTCGCGATTGCTGGACAGGACTGGAGGAGACGGAGTGGTGGACAACATGGAGCAGCCACGTGAAAACGCTGACGAAACAGTTAGCCTCGGCCGGTTGTTCTCGACTCCCTAGCTGGGAGTTCAGAGATACAGAGTGTTGCTGGCTGGAGAGCCTGAAAGCCATGGCTCAGGACCGAGGTCAATGGCAGACGTGTGTCTCTGTGTGTTGCAGTGATTTCCTTTCCCTACCCCAATAAAAAAGCAATAGAAAACTCAAAAATTGTGAGTGGAAAAAACAATGAAAAAATGTAGCAAGTTCTTTTACTTCGCATTCGTATCCTGTTTTCTTATTCCGCCATGATTCTGATGGTACAATAACTGTATCACAGATTACGTTATATATATATATATATATATATATATATATATATATATATATATATATATATATATATATGCAGTCGGTCAGCCGCAATAGACGTGTCTATGGTTGAAGAATAAAAGTTGTCGGCAAAGTTCTAGCTTAACTGCCATCGACCGATAGTCGAAATTGCAGTTAGTATACTTACAACAAGGTGTTGTGTCCTCAGATGCTGAAAACGACACGGCATTACCAGATGCTTGAAAAATAGTCGTCATTACAGTGGAACTCCAGGTTCGCGTTGGGACGCTACTGTTCGGTAGATGCGTTTTATATATAAGGATGTAAAGTGCGAACAGTGTAGGTTTGCTTACTGATCTGACAAAAGACGTGGACGAGGAATAACCGAATGTGAAGTGAAACTGTGACAAATCGCATAGAATGGAGTGATCGCGTTGAGAAAATAGTTCAATAACAAGTAGCTTGGTAAACCCCACTCTAGATGGCGAAAATACCGAAAACTGCCACTAGACCCGAAAGACCAGTTTGCTGACAACAGTGCATGAATGCAGGGAGCAAGTTAATTGTGTACAGCAGAGCGATGCAGTCGTAATAGGTGAGTAGAGATTTTTCTTCGAGGTATTATGTAGCCATTTGTCTAGGAAACACCCAATCAGACAGCGCAGTGCACGTGACATCAAAAGTCATGAGGTGAGATTTCTTCAGTTCATTGCAGTTATATCACAAGCCAGATAGGCTAACTACTAATCCGGAACGGCACCAGATGGTCATTTCGTCCTCTTGGGACTGGTCAGTGGTGTGCATTCCCTTGGTCTCCAGGAATTCGAATACATGACCGATAGTGCCTTGCACCACTAGCCAGCAGCTTGTGCTACTGAGCCATGGGGGATGTTAACCGACCACCACAGATTGAAAATCAACTGCGATATAGCCCGACCCATCCTCCATTGCCATGTAGGTTACTGAACGTGCAAAAGACAGTGTCAGGAATTACCTACCAGTAGCCGTGAATCAACACATTATTTTGAAGAATGCGATAGGGTAAACAACTCTTACAAATGCCTATACTTTAAAGTAATAAGGTAAGTTTGAAAACCCAACCAATCCAATTTCATTACAACAAGGAACCCTGAGTGGTGAAATAAAAGCAGTTTGTGATAGTTGTTGTAATAAACGAGGTTTGCAATGCGGCTGCGATCCGAATGCTCATCTTCAGCGTGTGAGGAGAGAAGCAAACTCATTCCTTAAGGATTCGCTGCGACGTGACTTAGTCGTGGTGGAATAAAGCTTCAATAGAAGTGCAATCATGCGCCAGCAACGGAGTTCTGTGTATTAGCCATGGTTTGTAGGCAACGTTAGAGCAAGGTGAGCGTTGAAACGGAAGACGAAATGATTAACCAACCTCCGAGGAATGTCAAGAACAAAATCCTCATCCAAATCAACCGAGAGGATTGTAATGGGTTCCACGGAGCATGACCGCAAGCGGTTGGCAACAGTCTGGATAGCATTCAACCAGGACAGTCGTTCAGTTTCGGTTTCAACAAAGAACAGACGTTCCACAATGTTTGTCCATTGCAGTCCACGGATCAGGAAAGAGAAGGGTTTCGGTTTGTTCAACCGTATTATCTGGCAATCTCGAACGGTGAAATTGTTCAATGGCTGGGCCAAATCGTCCTGCAGCAAAGTAACGAGTTGAGTCAAAAAAACAGCAATAGTACCACAGAAAATGGGTGAAAGCATGACAGCCAGAGGTAAAAGGCAGAAGAAATGGAAACGAAGCATCTAAACGGATAGCGTGTGAACCTATGGTGAGACCACGGGGTGTGAGTGAAATGCAACGTACGCCTCGCCGAATGCCAAGAGGGCATCTCTTTAGGTGAGCAATTCCATGTCACTAAAGTTGCACAGAAAAACACTTGTATAACCTGGGGAGTGCGGTGTTCATCAAGCAGCTATGTGACTACCATAGTCTCGGAGGGGAGGGATATGGACCGGACCACCATCACTGAGGATACATCAGCTACACCAGAGCATAATTCCCGCTTAGCAGCAAACGCTTCTTTGAACTGTCACCATAAATGGGATGACTAGGAATCTAAATATTGGTTCCGCTGGTCGACTGCAATGTGCAATTAATACCCAAATTAAAGGGACATATAGATAGAACACAACCGACCCAATTTTTATCATCATCATTATGCACGTAAGCTGCAGGTGGAAAACACCTCGGCTATTGTGCCGCAACACAAAGGACAAGAAAAGAACAACAGGGCCACGCCGGCTGAGTCCCCAGTAACGGATGGACATCGTTCCAGAGAGCTAACAACCGCCTAATGTGCCGCAAAAAAGTAACATTATACTTAGTAAATGAGATGGTGGTGGGAGGGAGAGGCTAAGCGGGAGGGCATGGACAAAGTAACTCACAACACAAACGGCATTAGGGCCGGCTCCTAACCATATCAACAAGTGTGTCCAACCAAACGTGCTCATTATCCTTAGGACACCAGCCAAGCAGTCGGGATGCACCAACTTCGAAGTAGGGGTTTTCATTTCTCTCGACCAAGTCATGGATTAGCCTCCCCACATCATCTTTCAACCGCATCCCCGGTGCGCAAACAATGTACCTCGCGGGAGTAGGTGTGCGCAGCACTTGACCCAGCCAGCTGAGTCTGCTGTGTGATACAATGTTGCTGAGCAGTTCACTCGCTCATCCTGAAGCAAATACGCGACGTCGAAGACGCTCATGACTCACGCACTGCTCCAACCAGACATGAGCTAAGCTGTGAAGGCAGCGATGATCCAATGTGACGAAACTCTTTATGTCTGTCGACCTGATAGGCCAGGTTTCACAACCATATAGGAGGGTTGAACGAACGACTGCATCATAAACTCTGCCCTTCAGGGCAAGAGTGATGTCGCGTCTGCGCCACAGGTGGTGGAGATTGACAAAAACATCTCGAGCTTTTGCTATACGGTTCGTAATTTCAGCTTCGATGCCGCAGACGCTAATATAGCTGCCCAGGAACTTGAATTCCTGAACGACTTCTAGCTGATCACCACCAACGGTCAACGCAGAGGTGGGTCCTTGCCAATCGTGAAGAAGTTCTTCGCATTTCGATGGAGCAAAGCATAGCCCAAAACGATTGACAGCCAGTGCTAATCGGTCCAGTATCGCGTGACATGTTTGGGAACTGTCACAGATTAGGACAATAGCGTCCGCAAACTTCAAGTCAAGAAGTCACTCACCAGAAAGTAGCTCCACGCCTTTTAGGTTGCGTCCAGCGAACGCTGTTTCCATGACTCCGCCAATAGCGAAGTTAAAGAGGAAAGGTGACAGCAAGCAACCTTGTCTCACACCGCTGGTGATACTGAAGGGTGGCGACAGTTTGCCATAAACCCTCACTCTGTCCGAACTATGCGCGGACAGCGCTTTGAGAATCTTTACGCATTTATCAGGCATGTCTTTCCTCGGCAGACAGTCCCAAAGGGCAGATCTATCGACTGAGTCGAAGGCACCTTTTATGTCAAGAAACACGACAACGGTGGGTCGCCAATAAACATGGCGGTGCTCCAACAATTGACGCAAGGTGAAGATGTAGTCGATGAAATCCCGACCTCGACGAAACGCGGCTTGCTCTTCACGTACCTGGCTTTCACGAGTGCCAGTCAGTCTGTGGAGCATGACAGACGCAAGCAACGTAGAGGCAATTGAGATCAGACTGATCCCTCTATGGTTGCCGCATTCCGAACGGGAGCCTCGCTTAAAAATTGGGACAATGACGGAATGGGTCCAGTCTGTCAGGACAATCTCCTGCTCCCACTAACAACTCGTGTAAATTATCTACCAGAGCAGGTCCCCCGAATTTGAAGAGGGCTGAGGGAATTCTATTTGTCCCTGCGGCCTTATACAATTTCAGCAGACTGATCTCATGTTCGACTTCTGCGCGTGAGGGCAGATCCAAGGACACGGCCCAGGGAGAAGGACGCTCAATGCTCGAAAAAGAAAGCGATAACTCAGGTTAGTTAAACTGCGTTGCAAAGTGTGCGGCCCAACGCTCCAAGCGTTTTGACAGCCTGTGGATCGGCTGCCCACTCTCGTCGCGTTTGGTCTCGCTAACACCAGGTCTCCTGCTGCTTGCTTCCCATATCAGACGGAATAAGTAACGATCACTACCAACGGCAGCGGCTGCTTCCATCTCCGAGGCGCGATGAGATCACTAGGATTCGCGGTCTTTCTTCAGGCTAGCACGTAGTTTTGCACTGATTTTTGCGAGCCTGATTGTATTCGCTTCCAGTCGAAATACGTCGGCGAGTATCCATAAGTTCCAAAGACTTTGTAGAGACCCAATGTCCAGTTTGGCAATTTGATTCGCCACATGAAGACATGCCTGCTGATAGTAAGGTTTGACGAATATGCGACCAAGTATCTTCGACGGTGTTTAGTGGGCGCTTACTCAGCCCGGATGTCAGCGCACTTTGATACACATTCAGAACACCTGGCTTCGCCAGCTGACTGATGTCAATCGTTGCGGACGTCCGCCGAAACACACCCGGAGGCCGGCGCAGACAAGTGCGTGGTCAGAGCCCAAGCTGTTGCTCCAAATCGAGCGACAGTTTTGGACACAGCCTCTCCAGCGGTAACTGATCGCGATACGATCGATTTGCGTCCATGGCTGTCCCGAGGCTGGTGGACGCCAAGTCACCCTTCTGCGGTTATGTCGAAAGTTTGTGCTTGCGAGAAAGAGATGAGTAAGTTCACGCAGCTGTAGCAATCGTTTACCGTTATTATTACGAGAGCCCAGATGAAGCTCATCAGAGGACAATTTTCCGACTCCGGCGTTTTGATCGCCAGCCAACACCACAGTATCCGTGTTTCTTCTGTAACGAAAGAGATCGTGAAGTTGCTAATAGAAATCATCTGTCACCAAAACAGTTTGTGGAGGCGTAAGCCGCAATGAAAAACAGGCACCGTTTGTTCCGGCGCGACTTTGTAGCGTGGAACGAACCAACTAATCTAACGGCGCACATCCGACTGTTTACTGGGATACAATCGACCAGGGCAGCTTCGGCCCGTGGACACAAAACAATGCCGACGCCAGCTTGACCGGCATTTGAAGCTGTATCATCGCCAGACAAGCGCAAGGAGAATGTGCCGCTAGTGTCACATGTGGGGGGGGGTCTTAGGGTAATCACGGAGCTCGAATCTTGTAGGCGGCTTTCGGATAAAAAGCAAATGTCGATCGATAGGGTCTCTAATGTTCGGGCAAGTGCAGCCTGTTGGCCAATCCGTAGCAAAGTTCCCACGTTGAGGCATGCCAGTCTTAGCGAGACGTGAGGACTCCAAAAGGAAACGGATGAACTGACGACGTCAGCTTGGTTGAACATAGCTGTCGCAACGAGACTGGACGTTAACGTAGTGCGACGGTTTGCGTACTTCATTGGCCCTTTGAGCTATACCGTGTGATGCTGTAGGAGCGTTGGCTAGGTACGGAGTCCGAAGAGAGCAATGTCCCGCCGTCCTTACTGGATGTCAGAAAGAAATGCATCCGGGCACCTTGAGAGCTACTCCTACCATGTTGGTCAATGGTGAGAGGTCAGACAAACTCAGTCTCCTGGTCCTCCAGGTTGGGGGTTTGAAATGAAATGGCGTCAATTTCTGTAAAACTAAATCATTGCCACATCCCGTTGACTTGCGGACAGGCTTTTGAGCCAAAGGCTTTGCATGAGGACCCTAATCGTCCTCCTGTCTAGGTCTGGACGCCCTGGCAGTATCTCAGCCCACATACAACCATGACATTTTCTTCAAACATAAACTTCATCCTGCATCGGCCGTCGCGCAGATTATCAAGGGTCGCCTTATCTGCTGCATACAGCAGGGTGGATAAGCGAAAACATGCTACTGCTGGCGCCTCCCTTCTTTCTTTTCCATCTTTTTCTTACTCCCATCCCGACCCCCATTACTAACCTTCCTTCTATAATTCCCAGCTTAATTGACAGCAACCGAAGTGCTACTGGAGTAGAACCATCTGCAGCCACCATCCCACAGCACCTATCGGACGCCCATCGGCAAAAGTCCCTTATAAGGCCACGCTGTCCCGTTTCCATGGCGACATTCAACGTCCGCACTCTAAGACAAACAGGTCAACAGGCTGCACTCGCACGCACCTTGGACACACTGGGTGTTGATGTGTGTTGTGTGTCCGAAACTAGGATCAATGACCCTAACGGGGTTATTGAATTGACTGCACCCGGCTTATCCTCTCGTTATTGGTTGCACGTATCCGGAGACGCCGATGCAGCACTCACGGGTCAAGCTGGTGTAGGTATCATTCTCAGCTCCAAGGCTGAGTCATCGTTGGTTGATTGGATTCCGGTGAACAGCCGTTTATGTGCAGCCCGTTTGACGACATCAGCTAAGGTGAATTCGCGAAGTAAAACAAAACGCTGTTTGTTTGTGATTTCCGTTTATGCTCCCACCGACTGCAGTTCTAGTGCAGTCAAGGACACATTCTATCACGAACTGAACGCCCTACTACGCAGTGCTACTAGTTCAGATATTATAGTATTGCAGGGGATATGAACGCACAAGTAGGGCGTATGAGCTCTTCAGAAGCTCAGCTGGGTGGTAATTGTGGGCTTAACTCCGAACGGAACTGACAACGGTGAGCGCCCGC